TCTGCTCCACTCCATCCCGTCTCGACTGCGAACATGTCTTGGCCTGTCAGAAATAGGAAGGTCGTTGATTATTCACAGTTTCAGGAATCAGATGATGCAGATGAAGATTATGGAAGAGATTCAGGCCCTCCAGCTAAGAAAATTCGGTCATCTCCTCGAGAAGCTAAAAATAAAAGGCGAGCTGGAAAGAATTCACAAGACAGTGAAGAGTCAGAAGAAAAAGATGTGAAGACCAAGAAGGATGATTCTCACTCAGCAGGGGACAGGAAAGATGAAAAAGATGACCATAAAAACGTGCGCCAGCAACGGCAGGCAGCATCTAAAGCAGCTTCTAAACAGAGATGCTCTTGGAAGATGTGGGGAGGGAGAAAGAACCAGAGGAAGAGGATGAGGCACCATTCCAGGAGAAAGATTCTGGCAGCGATGCAGATTTCCTAATGGAAGACGACGATGATAGTGACTATGGCAGTTCAAAAACGAAAAGCAAAAAGATGGTCAAGAAGTCCAAACCCGAGAGAAAAGAGAAGAAATGCCCAAACCAAGGCTAAAGGCTACAGAGACACCGAGTCCAGGGAAAGGGAAAAGTGGGTCGTCCCCACACCTTCAAAGGCTTCAAAGGATAAGACTCCTTCTCCCAAAGAAGATGAGGAAGCAGAAAGCCCTCCAGAGAAGAAGACGTCTGTGAGCCCCCCAATGGAGAAATCTGGAGATGAAGGGTCTGAAGATGAAGCACAGTCTGGGGAAGATTAAAAAGTGATGATGGTTTGGGAGAAATTTTATTAAGAAAAAAATGGAAACCTACTTAAGTTAGGACACGGTTTTGGCTATGGCTTGACTCATGGGCTTTCAGTGCTTTTTCATTTGTCAAAAGAATCTCAATCTCTCTCTCTCTCTCTCTCTCTCTCTCTCTCTCTTTTCTCTCTCTCTCAAAACCATTGTATGTTGAAGTGTTTAAGTTGCCATTTGTCTTTGCTCTTTGCTGCCCTCTCCCCTTTTCCCAATGAAAGCTATGTCAAATTAAAAAAAAAAATAACAGAATTTAGATCTAAAGATTTGATTTAGATAAAAGAAGATGTTAGATCCAATTTCATCTAGTCTAATCCTTTCACTACAAAAGAGATGCAAGGCTCAGAGCTATAAAATATAGATTATGTAGGTTCTGGATTACATAGACCAGAGTAAGTAGAACCTCACCCTCTTGTCCAAGGGGCATCCCTCTACTACACTGCCAAAATGCATGCACATATTTACACAGCTAGTCATTCTCTCAACACATATTTACACAGTTTATAGTGTGGTCAAAACCATAATACATGGGGCTAGAGAGATGGCTCAGCGTTTAAGACCACCCACTGCTCTTGCAGAGGACCCAGGTTTGACTCCCTGCACCCATATGGTGGCTACGAACCGTCCTTAACTCCAGTTACAGGGGAATCTGAAGACCTCTTATGACCTCTGCAGCATTGCATGACACAGGTGCATTCACATACATGCAGACAATACACTCATACATATGAAATAAAAACAAAATATTTTTTAAAAACCATAATACATGAGAAAATATCAAGAATATTGCTCACTCATTTGAGCTTAATGTCTAGAATACAATCTCAAACTCAGTAGTCTTTGGGGTCAGCCAAATAAAACCAGGCAGTGTGCTATAAGAGAATGGGAAATACGGAGTGAGGAAGATGGCTCAGGCGTGAAAGTGCTTGCTGTGCAAGCATGGGGGTCTAAGTTTGATCCCTAGTGCCCTGGGAAAATGCCAAGCCTGGTAATGTGCAACTGTAATCCCAGTGCCGGGGAGGCAGAACAAGAGGACCCCCAAGCCTTTCTGACTAGCCAGTGCAGTAAGATCCAGGTTAAGTGAGAGATCCTGTCCCAAAAACTAGAGAGCAAAGAGGGAGCCATATGATGTTGACCTCTGGCTTCCATATGCACATGCATGTGTATGGACATTCACACAGTAACATGCACATACACACACATGCATCCATACAGCAAATGGAGGCGCCTACGACAAACTAGAGTTCATGCCCTACTAAAGGCACCCATGACCTTTTAAAACTGAAACACTGCCTGCCAAATCACGTACTTCAAAACTTGGTTAGATTTAGGTTTTGTTGTCAGTTTTTAAGTCTTGGCTATGAAGTCACAACTTTGAATTTACTACCAGAATCTAGGAATCTTAGTTAATTCTACTACCTTAATATGAAGCATGTATAACTTAAAGCCATTTGTGAAGAAATAAAATATAAACCTATTTACTGATGAATTCAAACAAAGCAGAACATTATATTTAAATGAGCAGTAAATGACTCTGTTTTTCTGAATGTCTAAATTGAACACATTTTATCTTGACTTTTTTCTCAGCAAGGACTTGAAAGATGCGATAGCTGTTTTGGTAGAAGAAAAAAGACACCAAGTTTCCACAGCAGAAAAACTGGAAGACTGTATGGATTTTGCAACAGATTTGATTTTTGCTGAGGTACTGACTTAGGCTAACCATAATTTGACTGTGCACTGTTATAGAAAGACCGTTTTGGAATTGTGGCATAGTTTTTCTTTATGTATTTCTTTAGCAGTCCTATGGTATTCAACTCAAACAGCCCCCACATCAACAAGACCAAGCTTTATGACTGAAGTTCTTCTGTGTCATAATATGAAAACAGGAAGAGGGAGACATGAGACGCTAAATGAAGTCACCCCTCAATATCCTTGGGGTTTTGATTCTAGAACTCGCCCCAGTTACCAAAATCTAAGGATGTGCAAATCTCATATGAATTGCCATAGTACTTGCATATAACCTACTTGTATCCTCCCACAGATTTTACGCCCTCTTTAGATTGCTTATAAGACCTAATACAATATAACACTGTGTAAATAGTTATGATACTGTATTATTAGAGAATAATTACAAAAAGTCTATACATGTTCGGGGCAAATACAATAAAAAACAACTTTAATGCCCAGGTAGTCAAATTCATAGATGTGGAAATCAAGTATATGAAGGTCAACTGTACATGGGCCATTAGCTAGCTGTTTATCTTTCAGCAGATTATCAGGTAAAATGCTCAGAGTAGTTATAGAGACCTATAATTTCACTCATTTGTGGTTGTTGATGCTAAGTGTCTCCTCCCCTCAGTTTTTGAAACTTTGATCCATTTTCCAATGGGTTTTTTTTTTTTTGGTCTTTTTATTTTGTTTTCTGACACAGGGTCCCCCTGTAGTCCCAGCTGGCCTGAAACTCGCTATGTATACTAGGCTGGCCTTGAATTTACAGAGCTCTGCCTGCTTCTGCTGGGATTAAAGGCATGTGCACCACACCTGGCATTTTCCAAAATTTTCTCCTCTTTCAATTGCTCAGAGGCGTGGAGACCTGACAAAAGAGAATGTGAACCAGTGCATATTGGAAATGCTGATTGCGGCACCCGACACCATGTCTGTCACTGTGTACTTCATGCTGCTCCTCGTTGCAGAGCACCCTGAGGTTGAAGAGGCAATACTGCAGGAGATCCAGACTGTAATTGGTAAGAAGTTATCAAGTAAGCAACAGTGCTTAAAACACAATCCCTTCTGAACATCAGCTTCCTATGTCTTAAGAAGGTAAGGTCAATGGGCTGGAGAGATGGCGCCATGGACCCGGGTTCAAGTCCCAGCACCCACATGGCAACTAACAACTGTCTGTAACTCCAGTTCCAAGGGATCTGATGCCCTCTTCTGACCTCCGCAGACTCTGCATGACGTGTTCATTTATACACATATAGGCAATACACTCATACACATAAAATAAAAATAATAAAGTATTAAAAAAGAATCTGAAGTCAATCATAGAACTTTAAAGAAAAATAAAGTAAATAATTCTGTTATACTTTGGCTATGCTATGTAGGTTAATGAAAGCCCTTTCTAGTCTCACATTGTTTATATTGCAAAAATAATACCTGTTTATAGAAAAAAAATCAGATACCAGAATAATGCATAAAGCTGGGAAAAAATTCAGATACCAGGACAATGCATAAAGCAGAAAGTGAATATCCCACTCCTTCTCAGTGTCGTCTGGTCTCATTCCCACTCCCCAGGGCAAATCACTGCTTGTTTCCTGTGTGTTCAGGATCTTTCTTCCTCTCCTTCCTTCCTTTTTTCCTTCCCTTTTCTTCTTCCTTCCCTCCCTCCCTCCCTTTCCTCCTTCCTTCCTTTCTCTTCTTTCTCTGTGTGTGCCACAGTGTAAGTGTGGAAGTCAGAGGACATCTTATGGGAGTCAGTTCTCTCCTTCCACCATCTGGATTCTGGAGGTCAAACTCAGACTGTCAGGCTTGATGGCAAGTTACATCAAGCAGAGCCATCTCCTCTGTCCAAGATCTTATTCTGTGTGCACATAAACATACATATGGCTGAATTTGTCTTTCTTAGAAAAGCATGCCATAGTACTTGCATATAACCCTCTTATATCTTCCCACAGACTTTAAATTCTCTCTAGATTGTGTATAATGCCCAATACAATGTAATGCTGTGTAAATAGCTATGATACTGTATTATTTAGGGAGTAATTACAAAAAAGTCTGTACATGTTCAGGATAACCACAATAAAAAAAAAAAACCTTAACACCCAGTTAGTTGAATCCGTAGACGTGGAACTTGAATATATGTTCGGCCTGCTTTGTGAGTTATATACACAAAGTTTTCTCAGTTGGTTCATTTAGGAAAATGGCTATTTATTGTTTACAGAACTATTTCTTGGTTTCACTTGGTGGCAGGAGAAAGGAGGGCAACAGCAGAGATAAGTGACGAGCTCCCTTCTTTACTACAATCCTTTCCACCTCCTCTTCAGAGGAGTCTCCAGGTCCCCATTCAGCTCTCCCCTACCTCCCTTTTCATGGCTTTGCTTCTGCCTCAGCATCATCCTACCTCTTCTTTTCCATAGAAACAGGAAACCCATAACTGCTTTCTGGGAGAAACCAAAATCTGATTTGGAATTTCCTCTACCTGGGTAATCTTTTTAGGAACACATTTCTTATAGGTGGGAAAAGATGTAATGTGATACAAACTTTTCTCTATTGATTTTACACAATCCTTGTGAAACAAGTTACTGGGTTGTGGAATCCCACCATTTTTTGTTTTGTTTTTGGTTTTCTGAGACAGGGTCTCCCTATAGCCCCAGCTGGCGTGGAATGCAACACATGGACCAGGCTGGCCTCAGTCTCACAGAGATCTGCTTGCCTCTGCCTACTGCGTGCTGGGATTAAAGATGTGCACCACCACACCTGACTTGGCACCATCTTTTTAAGGCCTTTTGAGTGCGGCCTGAAATAGTTGACACTAAGGAGAAATTTCATTACTTTAAGTATGTGAGGGAAGGGATCTTCAGTTGGATCATTAGAGGGATGATGCTGGCCAGGTAGAGAGCAAGGTGACAGGATAACACTGGACTCCAAATTCAGAATGCTTTCTGAAATACCTTCAACAGGCTCCCAGGGTCTGTGTGGAGGGAGGGCAAGGGCACAGCACTCCCAGGGCTGCCTTGTAGACTGGTGGGAGGAAGAACGCAATGAATTCAATGGAGTGAGGATAAATGGTGTTGAGATGAAATGGTAAAGGTGAGAAATGGTGAAGAGATGGAGTTCAGGGCCAGGGGAAACTGATTTTGAGACCATGAGCTTTTATCACAGCTGTGATGCAAGTTCCTCAAGAATGAGAAGTGTTTGTGCTTCTTAATGTCTCCCTGGCTCCTCAACAGACTTCTGCAGAGATGGGAAAGCAGTGGAGCATGTTGCACATGTCTGTGCTCCCTCCTGTGCTCCGCACACAGCATGGTCATTACCGTCTAGTGAATGCCTTTGGTAGTCTTTGTGAGAGACAGGCTTACACTCTTTGTTAGGGCTCTCGACTGAATTAGACCTTCCCAGATGACTTAGTTTTACAGGTGACAGGGATACCTCAGAGCTCTGGGCTGTTTTGATTATGCAAATATGGTGGCTTATTTGAAGGTACTCTGAAGTTTTGCCATATCGAAGACAAATACAAGCCTTTTTGACCAATGTCAGGCAAGGCTAAGACAGTGAGGGCGACTGTCAATCTCCAGCCCCATCCAGGGGTGTTTGGGGAACGAGATTTTTTTCATGGTGAAGAGAGAGGAGTTCTTGCCACTCTGCAACAAGTTGTTTATGGTGGCGGGACTGTCGGTGATGTCTGTGGGCTGGTAGCTGAACAAACAACCAAAGGAATGAATATTGTGAAATGGATTCAAAGTACTGTCTCACTTTCACTCTGCTGCAGTCTTTGCATCCTTGTTTGGGATGGTTGTGGTGCTACTTTGCGTCAAATTGAGGGACAAAGTGAATGTCTCCTAGAATTTAGAGTAGGTGGAAAACGCAAAGTCAGGCAGACAAAGTGAATGTGAGAATCAAGGCAAGTGTGGCCCATATGAACTGCGGGGGACACGCCCCTCTGAAGGGTAATTGGCTGCCTACCTTTGGCCCACTGTTGACATGTAGGAATGTGGGTCTGGTGTTAGCAAGTTTTTTTTTTTTTTTAAAGAAATCTATTTTTTTTCCTATAAAGTCTCTAGGCTTTAACAGAAGTGACTTAATATTTGAACTTTTATAAATATTGTGTAGAATAAATACAACACATCTGTTTCTAGTGGCTAGTGTGCATTAGGATTACAGACATTTTTTTATCAACCAAGAGCAAATTGTTGTATGGAAAAAGGGGCTTTAATAACTACCACATATTGAAACCAATATTACCTTATTTGTCCTTTTTATCTGTTCCCACAGGTGAAAGAGACATAAAGATTGATGACATCCAAAATTTAAAGGTGGTGGAAAGCTTCATTAATGAGAGTATGCGGTACCAGCCTGTAGTGGACTTAGTCATGCGCAAAGCTTTGGAAGATGATGTGATTGATGGCTACCCAGTGAAAAAGGGAACAAACATCATTCTCAATATCGGAAGAATGCATAGACTCGAGTATTTCCCCAAGCCCAATGAATTTACCCTTGAAAACTTTGAGAACAATGTAAGAGTCCTTCCTTAAAACTGAGTGTGCTCCTTCTGATAGTGTCAGATGCTAAATTTGTTCCAGTTCTGTGTTCGCACCACACACATGTTTCTCCACACCCAGTCCTTCTGCTACCTTCCTGGGTACTCATGTGTCCCATGGCTTAGAACATAGCTATCACATTCATTCCAAACCAAGACTCTGGGTCTCTGGCTCTGCAAAATGCCTGTATACTTGCCACCTAGTAAGGTAAAATTGAAAAATCCTTAATTTAGCTAAATTTTATTTAAGGCAACTATATTCTTCTATTTAAACCTAGCACTTTGTCATCATCTAGAGCCAGCTGTACCCCCAGCTAAGCAAAGGAAATCCATTTCTACTTTAGCTAGAAGTCAAATGAGACCAAAACATTTTTATCACTGAATATTCTCTCAAATGCCTTCAAGCAATGGGTCTTATTCTACATATAACTTAATAATTAAAAGAAAGTTAGCCTTGAGCAGGGTGTGGTGACCTTTAATCCCAGTCTTCAGGAGGCAGGTGGATCTCTGTGAGTTCAAGGACAACCTGGTTTACATAGAGTTCCAGGCCAGCTAGACCCTGTCTCAAAAATAAAGAAAGAAGAAAGAAAGAAGAAAGAAAGAAAGAAAGAAAGAAAGAAAGAAAGAAAGAAAAGAAACTTAGCTTTTTTTCCCCCTATAGCTGAGATATAGGAGAGATTTTTGCTTCCATAATGTCAAATCTTAGGCAACAATGTTTTTAAACCTGAAATTTCCAGATAGCACCTATGGTACCCTCTTTTTCCATTTGTATATACCATAGAAACCTGATGCTAGTCCGGTGTTCTACTTTACCGCGCCTAGACAGGCAAATAGTCCAGATAGTGCCATGTAAATCAGACAACTGATTGACAAGATTCATGTACTTTTAGTATATTCAGGGGCCATGTAAATCCAGATTCAAGGCAGACAGCTGTGATCCTCATTAATTTTCTGTATACCTAAAAGTAGCTAGAGCATTTGGTGTCAGAGTACAGTCCTGTAATCCCAGCACTCAGGAGGCTGAGGCAAGAGGACCACAAGGACCCTATCTCTCACACACACAAGAAGCTTGACACTAACAGTTGGTCAGGTATCCGTATCTTTCACCTGCATTATCAGGTTATATAGGGTCACACAAAGATCAGTTTTGTCTTGGTGACTTGTAGAACACTAGTAAAACTGTGGTTATTTTACAAAGTTCTTAGGTATTGTTGCCCATTCCAAGGTGATTTGCACTGCTTTACCATAGATTTTTTTACTTGCAAAGCTGTCTGAGACTGGATCTGTGTCATTAGAGGCAAATCACCCTGGATGAGAAAAGGGCTTATTTAACAGAGTTTGTCTTACTCAGTGAAGAAGCAAGATGACTGAGGCTCCAAATGGGGTGTTCAGACTGACAAGTTTTCAGAGCGAATCAAGTAAAGACTGTTATGACTCTGGCTAATCATCTGATCATTTTCATAGGTTCCCTACAGATATTTTCAGCCATTTGGCTTTGGGCCCCGCAGCTGTGCTGGAAAGTACATTGCCATGGTGATGATGAAAGCTGTCCTGGTCACACTTTTGAAACGATTCCATGTGAAGACATTGCAAAGAAGATGTGTTGAAAACATGCCGAAAATAAATGACTTGTCTTTGCACCCGAATGACAACGACCTTGTGGAAATAATTTTCACCCCAAGAAATTCAGACAAGTGCTTCAAACAGTAGAGAAGGTGGTCTGTAGCTGCTCTGGGGCATTTAATCAGTAGTTTAAATGGAAGCCATCTATCCTGGCTGGGTAGTGTCAGCTTTACGGAGACCATTTGATAGTCTGAAGCTTTATATAACTATACCTCCTATAGTTTGTCAGCAAATTGGTATTTTCCCAAACCTGAGATCCAGGGTGCAAGGGAAAGGAGTTTGTAGGGGATCAGTGAAGAAACCGAAGCCCTAAAGGATCGATCCTACAAAACATACTTTGGGAAGGACAGGCCATCAGCAAAACCTGCCTGGTCTCCTGCTGGATTTCCACTGCCCTGGCCCCAGGGCATTTAAATGCCCAAGGGCAGAGGCAGCTCAAGTTATTAGGAAGGTCAGACTAATTTCTCAGTATGTGGGTCCAGGAATACCTACTAGTGTTGATAAAGGAAATTTCATTTTGTGTGTGTATGGGGGGTGGGAGGCAGCAATCATAGTCTTTGAATAGTACAAATTCAGTATTGAACTTTTCCTGCAATTATGCCCAGTTACTTGGACTGATGGACCCAAATATGAACTGTTTGAGGCAAAAGTTAGACCTGAGTGTATCCTTCCACACTCTCAACTCAGGCTTCAGACATGTGCTTTGATTAGTCAGTCATTTCAGGCAATAGAAACCTAATTAGTATTAAGTATTGAGTAAAATATAGCTAAGATTCTACATGTGGTGTGTGGGGAAATATAATCACAGGATACACTTTAAATTCAAATAAAATCCTTTTAAAAATGTTTGCATTGTTTATTAGTTCCTTTAGTGATCTGGGGGAGAGAAAGTCCTCTATATATCTAATGCTGCAACCCAGTGGCCCCAAGAGTTCCTCTCTCAACCCATTCTCCTCCCTTGACACGGTCTCCTTCCCTTTCTTGCCATGACCCCATTCTTTCAAAGAATACAGGGTAGAACTCTTGACAATCACTTCTTTATCCTACCTCAAGTTGAATAGTTACCTTAGAGATTTAACAATTAACTAGTTCATTCAGTCACTGTAGCCATGGATAAAATGTATATCTTAGAATTAGCTCTCTAGAAGGATTAAGGTAAAAATCTAACATACAGTTAATATCCAATTACCTAAAAACTGAAAGTTAAATTCATTTACAAATATAATGTTTCTATTGACTCTTCCTGCAGAAGACCTGGGTTTGGTTCTCAGCATCATACAGTGGCTTAGAACCAACCATTTTTACCAATTCCAGAGCACCCAATGCCCTCTTCTGGCCTTTATAGGCACTGCATGTACATGGTGCAAAACACTCTTACACAGAAAAAGAAACAGAAACTAAAAAATAAAGTAAAATAAAATAAAACAGGAAAAGTACTGGTTTGATGATCCAGGAAAACTCTCTTAGAATACCTTTTCACTCTGATTGGCTTCTTTAGACAAACCCTGTATAATTCTATGGGGTTGGCCTGAGGATTTTGGAATACCGTTGGCTTTTCAGTAGGCTGGTGACATGTAAGATTTGAAAATCCCGTTATCTCCTCAGAAATCTGCCTACTGCTATGCACTGGTCACTTCTGAATGTGCTGCAGATTCCATTTTTGTCAGTTTTCAAAGATGCATGCATGTATGTTTTATCACTGAGGAGAGCTATGCCTGTTTTTGCTTTGAGATGTGCTAGTTGCCTCCCTTACAGCATGCCTTCACTAGGATTTTAATGAGATTTTACCTCTCTCATTCTAGGTGGAAAGTATTCATATGCAGAAAGCCCTCTTACATTGTGAAATGGCAGCTCGAAATTGACATTTTGCATTTTATTTTATTTTTTTTTACTATTTACAAAAAGGTGTGTGGCACTGACCCCTGAGATAACAATGCTAACTGGATTCCCTTTGGTCTCTTGTGTTAGCTCTGGAGCTGACCTTCTGACATACACTTTCAAAAACTCTTGCTAAACTAAACTTTATAATCAGAGAGTGCGTTGGAGTTTGTGATATCTTCAGTTACACAACCATTTCATTTATTCGAGGCAGGTAGCTCCATTTTATAAAGAAATTCCTTATCTAGTGTTATTGCTTGTTACCTATCAAGTAGAGTTTCCCTCTCCTACCCTCCCATACCCTACTCACATGACCAGTTTCCCAGATTCTGTTAGCAAAAACTGTTCATATTTTTTTTAACCTGAAAACTTACCTACTTAAGATGTAAACATAGCAAAGACACAAAATGTTGTCTTCCAAACAAAGGTTTTTGTTTTTCTAGGGAATTATACAAAAACAAAAAAGACAAACTTTGAGCATTAGCAAACTAGGCTTGTGGAAGGAGAGGAGGAGGGAGAGAAGGAAGTGCCTTCCGGATACCCCTAACATGATACTATTCACCTCACCCACATGTGAAGCTGGCCCTACCCAGACAGTGAGTGGGGTTTTGGTTCCAGGTGGTCCCAAATCAAAACTTTTACAGGATCAGGCAGTTAATATATATCAGACAGTCAAGTCATATTTAAACAGAACCTGAGGGAGAAAAAGAGATCACATGGAAAGTGGTTCAAGGTCATGTTCTGAAAACTAGCCAGTCAAGCTGCACTCACCCTTGAGTTGGATCAGGCCCATGGTTGATGGTCTCGAACATAAATGTCTTTCACGTTCAGTATTTTCTTCACACCCTCTGCCACTCATCCAAGTCTCTGTCAGGCAGGCAGAGAAGTCTCTGTCTTACTATGGAGAAACTGAAGCCTGTGAAGGCTGAGCGCTTTGCCCAAGGCTACAATACTGCATACTGGACCTGGGCCTTTCAAGTCGAGGAGCTGTGTGATTTCACTGGGCCTGACTTCTCTTCAAAGCTGTGCAAGTTCTGATCTTTATTTGAATGACCCTTTGCCAACCTGAACCTCAGCAGGACAATTTGCACACATGGATTACACCAGAAGACCGCTATAGTCCTTTCCAATGATTTTGCTAATTTGGCTTCATAAACAACAGCGTTTTCTCCCTTTCCATCAAAGCCCTCAAAGAAAACTTACTGTATATGACACAATTTCAGGTCAAACATGCAATTTGGTTACTGAAAAGATATTTAGGTATATATGTGTGTCACCTGGCAGATTTCAGGTCTCAAAACACTAATGAGTCAGCATGAACCCTTGCTCATTGCTGAAAGGAGCACACTTTTCTTTATTCCTTATTTGAATTTTTTGATAAGTCATTCTATTTGCAAATAATCTTTATTTTTTTCTAGTGGTTCCATATTCAAATCAGCTGAATTGCTGAGTCCAACAATACTCCCTTTGATGCTGAAATTAGCACTTTCTCTGGGCAAGAACAATCCTCAGGCACACTTACCACCTTCCCCAAATGCAGCAGCTGTTGCCTTTAATATTCATATAACTCTAGAAACCACCACAAACAAAGAGAAATGAAACCCCAGCCTCTGATAGTGCAGGAACAGTTTTCACATCCTGGCATGTGGTTTTGAGGCCAGTGTGAGAAGGATCGTGATTATAAACCATTAAGACCATAGGGCAGGTTGTCTCATCTAAACTTCAAACCAATCATGCAAAATATGGCTTATTTACCCTTTTCAGGCTTTAAAATTGATTCCCAGTGAGAAACTTGCCCATATTCACTTAGCTGGATATTTGAATTCCCTTGCTTTATTCCAAAGTCTACGATATTTCTCATCTGCTATACTAAAATTATGATTTTTGTCTTGTGATCTTCTGAGGCCCTTAGGAAATGGAATGGGCCAAGTGCGCCTTTTCTTTTTCCTTTCTCTGCCTCCTTCGTGATGCAGACATCTTTCAAATATTTAATTTTGAAGGGACTGTTGCTGATCTTGCCTTAAGAGTTCTCTGTATTCTTATTCCACATAAGAACAAAACTATGCCGACTTAAAAATGATCTCTGAAATGGAGTTTATAAACCTTCAGAATAATTTTCATTTTCTAGTACTCAAATGGCTTCTACTGTACCACAGAAATAATTTATTCTTATACTATAATCCATTATTTCATCAGCAAATATTTATTGACCACATACCACAATAGCTGTCCTAAATACCTATTCCCTTACACCTGTATTTTTTCAAAACATAAAAAATAAGGTAACAAGTAATGAATGAGATGATTTCAGAAGATGCTAAGAAACACAAAGGAAATAAGTTGGATTATAAGAAGTTGGGGGGAAGGCTGTATTTCAGAATTAGATTCTCAAGTAAGGCTTCTCTGAGATATTGAAGTTAAGGACAAATCGGTTAAAAAAATAATTGATCAAAATCTGGAGCAGAAAGTTTAAGATAGGGAACTGGAAGTAAGAAGCCCCCAGGTGTAATCAGGCTTGGCACATCTAAAGAGGCACGGGGTAAGACTATGGTAATAGAGGGAACCTTTAAACAAGGTAAAGTTAGCAAGACAGCCAAATCATTTTGGGTCCTGACAGTCATAGAAAGATTCAGGATTTTAAGTAGAAGGGATATGCTAAGTCAGGGTCATTTTAGTTCCCATGAACTAGTTGCTAAGTTCTCAGTTTTGTGAACTGGCTAATAACAAGTTGGTAGTTTATGGGAGTATTTGAATCATAGACACGGGCAATTGCTACAAATCCAAGCTCTTTCTTCTTCTCTCAGATCTCCCTCCAAGAGAGCCAGTGGATAACTTTTACCAGCACACCACTGATGCGCATGTCATTGAAGTCTCCTTAGGGTTTCTGCAGAACTATGTGACCTAATTTATGTTCTGAGAAACTCATTTTAGCTGCTCTGAAGAGAATGACTCTTAAGGGATCACAGTGGAAGCCTGTGATCTCAATCAAAGAGACTCGAATCCAGGCCTTCTGACCCCAAACCCAGTATTCATTTTACTATCATTCCAGACAGACACAGCTTTGTCTACATTGAGTGTTTCCGTACCAAGGCTGTAAAACCACTGTCTCTTTAACAGTGATCTACTACTAGCTTTCCTTCTCACTCAAATTTACTATTATCACCAGGTTTCAAGTACATCAGAACTTCAGAGCCTCACAGAGCTGGAAGGGCCATCTAAGCATATGGACCAGCCATTAACCCACACCTATTCTACTCAGTATAAGATGAAGGCATGGAGAAGCTTCAGGACATCTCAGAGATGTACAGACACATACCTCAGAGAGGTGTGGAGGGACACTGCCACGTTTCTGTGGTTGTTTGTGCTGTAGATGGCTGAGCGATGGTGAGCAAGAAGAATCATTAATCCTCATTTGAGGCCAGCAACAAACAACAATGGCAGGAAAACATTTTTGATATTGAAATAGCGAATTATTCTAACTTTAGGCTCCATTACTTACCTCTGCCCAAGGTCCTTTAGATTGAACTTTCTCTAGCCATGGTTGCAAGGTGACCCTTGCCAAGCTCCTCTTGGTCTTGGCTGAATTATCCTCACTTGTTTACAACTAGCTCTGTATGCCCATAGATGGGACCTTTCCAGGAGTCCCTGACTCCAGGTGCCAATGATCGTCTGAATTATTCAGATGTTTAATGCTCCTCAGCTTCACAACCTGTCAGGCTATTTTTGGTTTTCTAGGTTGCAGATCATACTTTCAGGCGGTGCTTTCTGCAGCCTTTATGAACATGTTTCTTATAAGCATTTCATAAAGTTTTATGAGCTTTATGAACTTGTCCCAGTTGGGTTAGAAGGATTTAATAATAGTTGATCAAGACAGTTCTTTTGGACAAATTGCTTGCTGTCCAATTTAAGGAAGACATGCACCTCAAAGCTGGCACTTTCTCGAAGCTTATGGCTATTTATGATATGAATT